ATAGTGAAGACTATCAAGAACGCAAATAAATGTAAGTGAAAGTATATAATACTTTGGTACCCTCTTGACAAAACATTACGCTTTGCTGTTGGGCACAATAGATTTAGGATACAAAACTAAACAAAATACGAAATATCATTTACTTCTTTTGCCATAATTCCTCACAGCCTTGAGCCTGTTACTCTGGTGTACGTGAGCATTAGAAATCACGCCTACGGGTGGAATGTAGCCTTAAAAAATGGTATGAAACGCATAAGCAGAAAAACATGAGCATTAATCAAGGAAATACCGTCGAGGCTAGCTTTATGGCGAGCGTCCCAAATCATCACACAATTATCACGTCCTCCGCTTACGAATAAATCTATCAATAAAAAGAACAATTATTAATTAATGACCAGAAGGGGAAAATTAAATTTTATTGGATAGATCGAAATTAAACTTAAAGAAATCTCACTACCATTATACGTGTTGGAATGAGGCAACAGACTGCAAGATTTTCAAACAGCTATTTCCTTGACCAGATGTTATCGTCATGGATGTAGTCATAGTCAATATTGTTGCCCAACGTCTGTGGATCTCATGCACAAAGCAGCTGGCAAGTTCAGTCGCAACGAGAGCGGTGAAACTTGGTAATAACCTCCTCACCGACGGCTAATAGCCTATTCTCAACGATATAGCGACCTGCATATCGAAACATCAAGGAAGCAGCAGTAAATTTACGATCATCGGGTTCAAGACTGAAGCATTCAAGAGTCCTCAGCTCCCATTTATCATTAGCTGCAAAACAGATCAAAACAATGGGACTCCACGAGAATAGCATTTCTTCCAATCGAAAATGCGTAAAAAACTGACCTCTTGAAGTGAAAGAGATCACTCAATCTTTAAACACCTCAATCTTTGAAGTTATATGCTCAATCGCAAACCCTGCAATAATATTGATCGCATCGATGGTGAAATTTCCGTTCATTTGCAGCTTCAAATGAATTTGCTACTCCTACTTAAAATAATTGGCAACAAATAAATAAAACTTACAATAAAAGTTTTAGCCCATAAATTATCCAAGTGCATATGCACCGTAAACACTGATTATGTGAAAGAGGCATTGGTATCTTACCGACCTCTTCAAAAAACGATGGCTTCAGCTTTACTTTAGCATTTCGTCTTTAGAACAAGAATTAATTCAACTACTGTCTGAAAATTACAGACGATGTATCTTGTCTGAAGCGAAAAAGTAAGATCAATTCGCTCCAAGAGCATCTGAAGATGTGAATGAACTAAATCCTACTGGCGCTTAGTGAAAATGAGTTTATAATGATAAACAAAATATCGTCTTCTCTGCCTAGTTTGCCATCTGTTCTCATGGACTCCTTAACAACATAAGTTTAAAACTCAATTGCAGATTATAAAAATCGCCCTACCTCGCCTATATTTTTTCTCACAATCTTGATCTTTATCACTAACTTCGTCATCGTCATCCTTTCCGTCATTATCAGCATCATTCAATGCACTGTCTGCTAGAAGAGCAATTTGAGACTTCCCTAAAGTTAAATCCGGACTTCCGTCCCTGAATCCACTCACAATCATAATGAGTCTAGAAACCTCAACGAATTCATACTGCTAGCGCCCCTCCATCCTTTGTCTTGGGAATTTTTTGTCGCTTACGGCCAAAATCTAATCGTCTAAGGCACAGGGTAAGCCTATTTCATTATAATTCGCTTCAGTACTTAAAGGAGAAGACTTCAGATCACATTGCTTCAGGGAATTGCGTGCCCAATTTCCCTGAGTGGCAGAACCGGATAACGATACATTGCTGAAAACTACACGTAGGCTAGCGGCGCAGCGCGTAGAACTCGTCGCTCTCCAATAAATGTCTCCAATTCCAAATAATAAATTTGCTAGTCTTGATCTTCTGCTGTTCCTCTGCGAAGCGGAGGGTAAAGTTGTCAGAATGGCATCATGTGTTACAGGGACTAGCAAAACATTTCGACACAACTATCCGTAAATGACTTCATTGAGTAAAGGTTCCATTAGAGACGGCTAATTTTCTTAATTGAAATTAAGAACAACATCTGTACTCGTGTAAAAAATCCCAATCTACCACGCCCTCCATGAGATGAGGCACAACCCCATGATACAGAGGAAAAACTGCTAGAGAAAAGATGGAAAACTCCTGAGCTCACTCAAGAAACTTCGAAGCGGTTCAAGCCTCGTAGAGTCTTAAGGTAGAACGCCGATCGACCAGGGTGAGAGAAAATGGAAGTTTTGTCCAAGAAAGCGTATGTAACAACCAGTACTCATTGAGAAGATCGAATGAAATGGGAGGCACAAACAAAAATGAGGAGACCTCAGTTCCCTGCATCCAGCTAGAATCTGGCTACGGAGGCCTATATCACATGGCTGATGGATGAAAACGGAATTCAGCAGTGACTGACTGGTAAACAAACAGATGTAAGTGCTCAATTGGAAGACTGATCAGATAGGAAGATCAGCTACAAGGTAAATATAAGATTGATAAAAGAGACACGCTTGTGAAAAAAATCGGCTGAGACTCGGCAATGGTGATCAACGCTAATTACAAAAACAGGCAGTGAAGCAGTGAACTGCTGTTAATCTGCCACAAACAAATATCACGTTAATCTAAGATTCGCTACTGTTTTCAAAACAGAAAATAACTTGGGTTTTCCCTGCACGCCGAAACGGATTTTACTGTTC